ATTTTAATATTGCTAATTCAATAGTTCTACAATCTGGCCTGGAGCTCCGTTCCGCGTATGCTTTTCGCTTTTAGGGTTATATTTCCTGTGGTACCCTTCCCCTGTCTCCCTCGCTCTCGCCCTTTCCGTTTCTCCCTCGCCCTCGCCCCTTCCCGTCTCGCCCTTGCCCTTCCTTTACGAGGCTCTAGTCCTTCACTGACGGAGAGATCGGGGCATATGAGGGTTTTTTCGCAATTATACAAACATGTTTTCTAGGATATCAGTTACAGACAGAGGTGTTTTGTGTTATTGTGGAATATCATCTCCGTTGCTCACGTCACGTCAGTCTCATAGCTTTGGGAGACAGTTCTACATTTGTGCCAAGGGTGTTTCAGCTCGTGGCGGTTTCTTCCGGTGGGCTGGCAGTCCCACATATTACACTGCCAGCAGTCATTGGAATCTGATGTTTTCCCCGGTTGATAGTACATATGAGAACAGAAGTAGGCAAAGTTTCAAATTTAATATTTTAATATTTCTCATTGTAGCTGCACTTGTCTTTGTACTTTTTTTATTTCTTCTGGTACTCACGAGAGTGTGAGAACCGTATGTCATCTTTTGAAAGTGATCTGTGATGATTGGATATTTCTGCACTATATGTTTCTGTACTACCAATAAACTATTTTGAATAAGTTGTCCCAAACCGTTTTATCAGACATGAGAAAGAATGTCATTTAACTACCAATAAACAATCTGAATAAGCTGCCCCAAATAGCAAGCCAGATTATTCTGATAATCTGCAGATTATCAGATTATCAGAATAATCTGCTTATCAGCAGATTATAAATAATCAACAGCTGTGCCAAACAGACCCTAAAATATATTCATAATGGTTGTAGTAGTTTTTATGGAGGCATTCTCTTGATGTATCAATCAATTAAAGGTACATCAAGTATTGTTTTCACATTGCATATAGTTTTTTTTTTAATTTTTTTTCTTCTTGTACCAATAAGAATGTTTTATTTGATGTGAAAAACTCTTAGAAGTTATATTAAGAAATTTATTCTTATTAGAAGTTAAGACGATTAAATTTATTTTCTTGGATTGGATTTATTTTGTTTGATTTTTTAGATTTATTTCCTTGGATTGGATTTATTTCTTTTTCTATTTTATGCTTTCCTATTTTATGTTTTTTTATTTATCTCTAAGTAATTATTATGAATTGATTAATTGGATATTTATGCGTTTTATCTTTTCTATTCTAGGATTCTTGTAAGGGTATTTATACTCCTTTTCATATCAATAAAACAATTTCCGTTGAATTCTGAAAATGAACATTGTATCAGAGTTTTGAAACAAACCCTAGAGTCTCTTGCTGCTTGAAACTTTCTATTCCCTTCAACCGGTAATTTGTCGTGCAGGCTCTTCCTCTACCTCCTCTTTTAGTTTTTTCATCGGAAACTTCATCTTTACACAAGCCTCACAACTTGAATTCTCTCTTGTAGCCTTTCCAGCCGCTGGAACTCCCTCTTACAGCCTTTCCCATCGCTGGAATTCCCTCTAGCATGCCCTAGCTGCAGGAACTCTTTTCACTGCTGTTTTTTTCAGCCGGTGGTCTCCTCCCTTCCCTGTAGATTTCAGCCAACGTTCTCCTTCCTTCCGTGTAGATTTCAGTCGCCGATCTCTTTCCCTGCTGATTTTAGTCATCGGTAACACTTCCTACAGACTTTAGCTACCACCGGCCTCAACCGCTCTGAGATCAAACCCTACCTTCCTCGTAGGCTACGAGAGAACCTTGACCTTCGATCGAATCTCAAGGTTCTTGATCTATTACCAGAACATAACTTTCTATCTAGTAATTTGCTTTGTAAGGCTTAATCTCTTTGCTCAGTAATGTGCTTTGTAAGACTTAATCTATTACCACACATAACTTTATATCCAGTAATGTGCTTTATTTCCAAGAGATTGTTGGCATAATCATATTTTGGATAAGGTATCCTTATATGGTTTCTTTTCTCCTAAATTGGGGAGAGAGACTGATGTTTGTGATCGCTAGCTTCGTTATGAGTTGGATTCAACATGTTCAGTTTAGTCTAAACCATTTCTCCTCCGCCATCTGCATAGGAAATCCAAAAGGCAATGATTGGTTTGAGAAGCAAATGACTGGGGCGCTTAATATCACTTGTCCGCCATGGATGGATTGGCGTCATGATAGATTGCAGTTCCAGGCATAACACCATTTGTTTTCTCGGCTTCCAAGGTGCCATCTCAAGAGAATTGCTCCTTTAGTGAAGGAGCTCTATAAAAAGCATAAGTTGCAAAGAAAACTCCCTACAGGATTTGTCCTGCATGCAAGTCAGTGAAGGAGCTCTATAAAAAGCATAAGTTGCAGAGAAAACTCCCTACAGGATTTGTCCTGCATGCAAGTTCTTCACCGGAACTCTTAAGTCCAGCTGCAAAAAATTCAGTGGCAGACCCCTTTCCACCAGATTCCCCCTGCAGACTTCTTCTTCGCTGAAACTCTCCCGTCCAATAGCAGCAGAGGCAACATGTTCTCTCCCTGCAGGTTGCAGTCCTTTCCATTGTTGTCAGAAACCCTACAGAAATCTTAATAAGCTTTAGGCACCGGATGTCGTTCCCATCAAACGCTTATGGGTACAACCAAAGTTCTTGTGCATGCAAGCCGAGATGCTGGTGAGAACTTAACAGGAGATGCTCTTTGTTTTCCGATGGAGACGATAGTAACTGGATCACCAGCTCAGGCGCCGACTCCTCTTCCATCATCCTCAATATGGAGCTTCCCTTAGAGAACATTCGGTGCTTTGCCCTGTCTCAGGCCGTGCTGCTTGAGGCCACGCTGGAGCTCCTGATCTGGCTTCTTTTCTACATCCTAAACCGCTTCGCTCTGCTCCGTAGTTGATATCATTCTGTCTGGTTTCTATTTCATCCACCGACATTGATTGTGACGGTTTTGAAGGCACTCTTCACGAAGCTTTGAATCTTCTTCAGCATGGAATCCCAACAGTCTACCCACAGACACTCCTTCAGAGCTTTTTTCCGTAGCAAGTCATCCTCCATAACTTTTTATGCAGCAGACCCTCCTCCCAGTAGATCCTCTTCCGGGGCTTTTTCTTGTAGCAGACACTCCTCCAGAGTTTTTTTCCGACAGAAGACCCTTTTTCTGAAATCATTCCTGCAGCAGACCCTCCTCTGGAGCTTTTTACTTTTTTTTTGCAGATCATACCTTGCAGCTTTTCCTGTTGATTGTGTATTTCCCTGCAACATTACCTATAATAGCATTTCACCTACTTACTGACACTGTAGAAACTACAATCAAAGACAACCGCAGTCAACTAGTAGTTAGTTTTTTTCTCTAGGTTATTTACTTCGCTGCAGCATTATCTGTAGGAGTCTTCCACCTACCTACAGACATTGCAGAATTTGCACTCAAAGACAATCACAATCAACTAAAAAACATCTCTAAATGCTCTTGGGGTTGATTATCAAGTAGGGATGAAGACTTCAAGTTCTACCTCACAAAGAATCTTTTTCGCCCATTGTTTGATATTTTCTAATCCAAGTTGAACATGGTTGTCAACCATTTTTCAACTTGAGAGGAAGTGTTAAAAGTTATATTAGGAAATAAGTTATTCATGTTAGAAGTTATGCGGACTAGATTTATTTCTTTGGATTAAATATATTTTCTTATTTTTTATTTATTTCTTTGGATTGGATTTATTTCCTTTCCTATTTTAGGCTTTCTTATTTTATGTTATTTCTTTTATCTGTAAGTAATTATTATGAATTGATTAATTGAAAATATAGGTGTTATATTTTTCCTTTCATGTATTTCTTTTTGCTTGTCTTTACTATTATAGGATTCATGTGAGGATGATTTTACCTCTTTCATAATTGGTCTTTTTTTCTCTTATACTGTTACAACAAATAATAAAGTCTGCATTAACCAATTAATAGCGAGCGATGCTCCGTAAGATTAATGACAACAAGTGGCTATGAAGAATTAACATCAACAATCACAACGAGCAGCTACGATTACTACGAGTTTATTCTAATCAAGCATTTGAAATTCAAAATTAATCATATCCAAAACAAGATCCATCTTTGTCCTGCTATAAAATTTGGATTTTGATACAACATTTAAGAGTCTTTATCTCCATTTTGTGATATCTTTTTGATGATTTATTTGCGCCTATAGATTGTGATTTGAGGATGACCTCCATCAACAATTTCCACAAAAGAAATAATTCCACTTAAACATGAATGACTTCTTTTTTCCTGAATTGTGAGGGATGCTGTTTATTGTAGTTTTTTTTTCCCGTGAAGTTAATGGTTTAGATTGATTATTTCTTTCAAATTTATCTCTTTCAAATCATGATTTTTTTTCCATGTTAAGTTTTTCTCTAATACTTGTTATTGTTATGCCGTTTTGATCTTGGTCAAATTTGCCACAATTGAGTTATTAATAGCAGTTGAAAACTATTCATTTGCTGCTTATATTTTGTGGTTTAAATTATTATTAATTCTTATGAATTTACTGGGTATTGTATCATCATTTTGTTTTGATTTTCTGTGGTTTACATTTATAGAAAGACAAATTTTTTTAGTGAACTTTGGTCCGGACAACCCAATTTCTTCTGCTATTTACAATTATTGCATCATTCTGGTTGCATTAGGAATTAAGACCACTTAGTATCCACCATCACTTTTCCCTCTTCTAGCAGTAAGATAAAATGAAAAGAAGAAAAATGAGAATAATATGGATATGTTGGAAACTGCAACCAAAATACAATTAGGAAACATCTATTGATTTTTTTTGTTTTATTCTTTTCACTAAACCACTAATTTAGCTCACTCAACTAGGTCAAGTAAATTTATGATTTAAATTATATGACTGAGGAAATTTTTCTTTCGCATGAATGAGGAAAAACTTGATGAAGTTTGACTTGTCATTTTCTTAACCATTCCAAACTCCAAACTTTATTTTCCCCCAAATCTTGTTCCAGATCATCTGGCCACAACAATGCCCCCTGTTGCTCTGCCGAGTAGCACTGATGAGAAGAAAATGGTTAAACTCTGAAGAACCCTCTTCCCAATCATCTCATTTAAATGAAAACTGGAGCAGCAAATTGGGCGCCACTGATAATGACTCAGAAATTCTTGTTACCGATCTACACCATTTGAAGTTGGGGAAGACGATAAAAAATATTAAGAAAGTTATGTCACCTTCTCAGTACAAGCCAGAGAACTGGGTATTTTCCGAACAAAGACAAACAACTATGAACCAGTTGAATATTGCTATTGTAAGTTGATCGCAGTTTTAGCATTGTGGTTGTTTACACTTAGTTATGACTAATCTGAATTTATTTTCAAAACCCTTCAAGCCAGGAATTTATTTTATATTTTTAGGTTGGACATGTTGATTCTGGAAAATCTACCTTGTGTGGGAGGTTGCTCCATCTTTTGGGAAAAATTTCAAAGAAAGAAATGCATAAATATCAGAAAGAGGCTAAAGAAAAGGTATTTGATATTTACTTGGTTAAGTATTTATAATTACTTTTTTTGTTTATTTCATTCACACAGTATGCACAGATGAATATACTTAAAAAATTATGCACGAACAAGTATGTCATGGTGTAGGGATAAATATAAGCTATATATGCGACCAATATCACTGTTATGTATGAGCTTCATTGTTATACTCAATCTCATAAGCAATGTTCATTTAACATGTTAAACACCAATTTATACACAATCGAATTTTCCATATAATTTATGATGATGATGATGATGTGAATATGATGCAAAGAGTTAGTAATAAAATTATTGATCACAACAGAATAATTTTATTGAGTGCAATAGCACAATATCACTTAGCCTTCAAATCACCAATGTAAGCAAAGCAAGCTGAGTGATTATGTAAATCTAGGTTTAAAAACCAATGATGCATTGATTTTTATTTGGTTTAACGTCTAACTGGCTTATATGCCTATCTAAGCACACTCTCACTTAGGATTCCAATAAGATCTTTCCTTTACAGTGAAGTATAGCCAACAACCTTCTATATATGGGAAGAACAACACCTTTCTTTTACAGGAAAGGTAAACTCGAAGCCAAATTTACAAAGGATAACTACTTTTCTAAAGTCTTCCTTGAGCTTAGTGTACTACAGGCCTAATGCCAACAAATAAATTAAATAATCTTTATGCAAAAATGATTACAAATAAACAAGGTTAGATCTACAATCAAACAGGCTAAAGGGATTGAAAGAGATTGATTTTACCAAAAATAAATTCAAAGAGAAATTAGGTTTTGATGATTGCTTGATTTTTTCTGTAAAAAGTATTTTTTATTAGGCTTTCTACTTCATTTGGCGTTACTTCATCTTACATAGAGGTCAAAACAAAGACTAGCTATTGTGGATGCTGTTGGGCACCAGTCCACATGTACATGCTACGTGTCCCAAGGAGATCTCAAAAACTGCTCAGAAGGTATTTTGCATGATTTTTTAAATAATTAAATACTGTTTAAAATTATGAAATTTTTCTATAGAAACTTGGATAATATTAATAATTTGCTGTATAGTTTTTAGTTAAATTTAATAACTCTATAATTGTTATAAAATTATCAAGAATTGTTATAAAATTATCAAAATTTGATGAAAATATAAAAATTTAGTGATTTCAGCTTTTAACTGTCATTCAAAAAATACCTTGAAAAATAAAAATATACATCGGAAAATCAAGACATTTGAAGCATGCGAGTGATATGATAAATTCAACATATTCCAAAAGATTTTTTGTCCAAACCATATTTTTATTCTTAATTGAAAAATAAATTGATGTATTACAAAAAGTACATTATAATGAAACCATATTTTCTTAAAATAACTAACCATAAGTCTAAAGCTCACTCAATTTCGAATATAAGTGTTAGTAGTTATAATAAACATTCTTTAAAGAGGTTTTATATGAAAATAATGTTGATGCTACAAAAAAAAAAAAAAAAAAACCAACCTTGGATTAGTGGTTTTGCTTTTGTACTCTGAATTTCATGTATGATAAGGGTGGCTTATGTTTTATAAAGAAGTTTGCATTTTGAAACTATTTTAACTTTCAAAAACACGGTCAAGTATAACCGATCTTTTGAACATATTATAAACATTAAAAATGATTAACATTAAGTAGTGTGCCTATCATCCTTTAGATTTTGGTTAAATAATTACTCAATTTATTTTTTGAAAACAACCTAAACAACCGAACTTAGAAATATGCCTTGAATTTATCGTTGTCTTTGTGAATTTACCCTTTTGAAACTTGTCTCTTTAGTTGCAAACACATGCAGATTGTTTAACATTACGTGCTATCTTTTCCATGGTTGCTTTGTAATAAATGAACGAGTCAAAAACTTAGTAAACTATTATATGACAACACATAAAATTTGTTATCATAAAATCACTAGTGAGCTAGTTGTATATCTTAACACGGATGAAGTGGCTGCCAGGATACATAAGAACTATTTTCCATCACCTTATTCATGCTCTATGACTAAAAATGGAAGATGGATTTCATCATTATTATTTCTCTATATTTTGATGCATAGCAAGAGCTCTATATGTGTGTCCTTAGGCACTCTTCTGTTTATTTAGAATGTTTAAAATGTTCTAAATGCAGGGGAAGGGATCATTTGCCTTTGCCTGGGCAATGGATGAAACTTCTGAAGAGAGAGAAAGGGGTATAACAATGACCGTAGCAATTGCCTACTTCGAGTCAAAGAAATACCGTGTGGTTTTACTCGATTCTCCCGGGCATAAAGATTTTATTTCAAATGTGATATCTGGTGCTTCTCAGGCAGACGTTGCCATCCTCGTTGTTGATGCGTCTACCGGTTCTTTTGAAGCTGGGATGGGTGTCTATGATGTTGGACAGACAAAGGAGCATGCACAACTAATAAGGAGCTTTGGTGTTGAGCAAATTATTGTTGCTGTCAATAAGATGGATGCTGTTGGATACTCACAGGAAAGATTTGATTACATAAAATTCCAACTAGCTTCTTTTCTGAGATCCTGTGGATTCAAGGAAACACTCATCACTTGGATTCCTTTGAGTGCTATGGATAATCAAAATTTGGTTAGCTTGGCTTCTAACGGTCAGATGTCTTGGTAAGTTTTTTTCTGGCTGTGTGTCACTCAGAGAAGTTGCAGTGACAAAATTGCTCCATAATGTTATGTTGTTCATTTTCTTCTTCTATTTTTGGTGAAGTTCATTATGGTTGCATTCTTTCTAGAAGCAATCTTTGCTTGTTATTTAACAATACCAACAAATCAAGCTCTCTCTTCTGATCCTTGCAAGACCTATTTGGCTGATGGATATGATCTTTGAAACTTTCTACTGAATACGAGATGTCGTCGTCCAAAAAATTAATCTTGAACAACAATATAGGCTTAAATATAATTGAGTTTTACATGATGAGTTTATTTTGCAGAATAAAGGATAAGCAGCTGCATGTTGAACCTGTAGGATTGAAGAAATATTTTCAACTAAAGAGGAACTGTTATAGCATTTGATGGACAAGTGAATGTCGACTTATATGCACACCTGAGGGAAAAGTTAGGTGCTTTTAGAACAGATTGAAATTTAGTATTATTTTATTTAAAGAACAAGAATCTTCGTGTGGGAGGATGTATGAATTGAACATTTTTACAAGTTAGTAGTAACATATGAGAGTATATACAAAACAAGACAGGCTACACTGATTTATATATGTTTGGGTTTTCAGTCAAGATTCCAGCCTGATCGGGAAGCATTAACTTGAAAGTTCCTCTAGAACCACCACTAGTTTTGGCTTCTTTATGGTCGAGCACAGAACTCTTACATAGTTTCCTTTCAGCTCAATGAGGGAACTGTGATCCTTTAAATGGGACAAAAAATTAACGCATGATGATCTTTTAGAGACAGGCCCTTGAACTGGGAAAATTATTCCATCAGTACTACGCACCTTAAGTTAGGTGTGTATCCAATAAGATGGCGCCAACTGTAAACTACGGTCCCACTTATTCCATCAGTATTCGCGACCTGGGCTCGGCCCTAAACCCGAATTCTGAAAAAAATCTCGCCATGATAAAATTATTTCGCGCCAGGTTGTGTTCTATTCGAAGGGTGAAGAAATATTTTTGCTGGTTTTTTAACACGCTTTTTCACACCTTCGTTCATAGCTCCGTTCACAGCTCCGCCATAGCTAGGTCTTGTTGGAATTCTCCATGGACGTTTAGATGCTGGAAGTCGATTTCTCCATGAACGTTGAGATGCCGAAAGTCTCCATGAACGTTGAGATGCCATCATTCAGCCTGAACTTTGAAGGTCAAGATCAAGTGAGTTTTGGTGTTACTGTTGTGTTATTCCGGTGTTACTCTGCTATTACTCTTGATTCTTGCCTTTTATTTAGTACAGCACCGTTTAGGTGGTTTAGGCTTTAGTTTTATCTCCATATAAACTTAGGTGTTGATGTAGTATCTTTTGGATGTTGTTTTACAGTGTTGTTTGGTATTATTATGATTTTTTCTTTTCATTAGTATGGTTTAGGAATTTTGGTTTTTTTGTGTTACCCTTGTGTTATTCTGGTGTTACTGTGGTGTTACTCCATGTAAACGTAGGTGTTGATGTAGTATCTTTTGGGTGCTGTTCTACATTACTGTGGTGTTACTCCATGTAAACGTAGGTGTTGATGTAGTATCTTTTGGGTGCTGTTCTACATTACTGTGGTGTTACTCCATGTAAACGTAGGTGTTCTTGTAGTATTATTGGATGTTGTTCTATAGTGTGGTTTGGTATTATTATGATTTTTTTTTGTTACTATGGTATTAGGCTTCTGGTTTATTGGTGTTCCCTTGTGTTATTCTGGTGTTACCGCATATAAACGTAGGTGTTGATGTAGTATCTTTTGGGTGTTGTTCTACAGTGTGCTTTGGTATTATTATGATTTTTTTTTCGTTACTATGGTTTTAGGCTTCTGGTTTATTGGTGTTACCCTTGTGTTATTCTGGTGTTACTGTGATGTTACTGCATATAAACGTAGGTGTTGATGTAGTATCTTTTGGGTGCTGTTCTACAGTGCTTTGGTATTATTATGGTTTTTTTGTGTTACCCTTGTGTTATTCTGGTGTTACTGATGTCACCATTGTTTTATGCAGTCCTCTGAGGCAACACAAGTTTGCAATGATCCTATTACAGAGAAGTTTCTTAGCAGCATTATTCACAGTGAGGAAGAAGCATATGAAAGCTATCGTGCCTATGCACATCACGTGGGATTCACTGTTCGGAAGGACCATACCACCTACTGGCCGAACTCCAAGAAACTCAAAGTTGAAAATTATATTTGTGGAAAAACTGGCTATAAGAAAGAGCCTAACAACACAGTTAAGTTCAGAAAAGCGGACACGAGAACTGGCTGGAAGACCATGGTACGATTTCATGTTGATTTCAAAGGCAATTGGAAAGTGGCAAAAGTCATTGAAAATCATAATCATCCTTTGGCTGAAAGTGGTGATAAACATCTTCTTCGTTTCAACAGAAGGATAATTGGGATTAATGCAGATGTGTTGAGATCCATGACGGGTTCAGGCATCAGAGCAACACATGCATACAATTTCATTGCCACGGAGGTTGGTGGTGTGGAGAATTTGGAGTGCACCAAAAGAGATGCATTTAATTTTATCCAGAGAGAAATAAGACAAAAAATTGAACAGGGAGATGTCAATGCTTTAATACAATTGTTCATGGAGAGACAAGCTGGGGGCAACATGTTTGCTTGAGATTTCCAAACAGATGAGTCTGATAGGTTAACAAGCATATTTTGGAGTGATGAATTGTGCAGACTGGATTATGACTGTTTCGGGGATGTCATAATTTTTTATACAAGCTACAGATTAAATAAATATAACTTATGTTGCGCTCCATTTGTGAGGGTTAACCACCACTGACAGAACGTACTGTTTGGAGTTGGATTTTTATCTGATGAGACTACTGAATCATTCATGTGATTATTCAAATCATTCATTCGAATAATGGGAGACAAACATCCCATAACAATCTTTACCGATCAGGATCAAGCAATGACAAGAGCCATTGCAGAATGCCTCCCACAAACACGTCATAGATTATTTCAATGTCATATCTACAACAAACTGCCTTCCAAAGTACATTGTGGAGTGCGTACTAAGAGTGTCTGTGGACTTTTCTATAAATGTTTGAGCACGTATTATTCTGAGGAGGAGTTCGAAGAAACGTGGTCCTTAATGATTGAGTTTGGGGAACTACAAAGCAATGTTTGGTTAGATGAAATGTATCGTATAAGACATAAATAGTCAACAACATTTAATAAGGATATATTCGGTATGAGAATTCTTTGAGCACGTGTTATTCTGAGGAGTTCGAAGAAACGTGGTCCTTAATGATTGAGTTTGGGGAACTACAAAGCAATGTTTGGTTAGATGAAATGTATCGTATAAGACATAAATAGTCAACAACATTTAATAAGGATATATTCGGTATGAGAATTTTATCAACATAGAGAAGTGAGTCGACCAATAATATTTGTCATGGTGTTTCAAAGCCAACTAGCTCTCTCACAGATTGTTTTATCGGTCTTGAGAACATAATGAAATCGTGGCGCCAGAGTGAGAAAGATGAAGATTTCAAATACGGTCAGTCCGTGAGGACACCCATTGTTAAAATCATTCACATGCTGAGGCAAACTGCCTCATTCTATACAAGGAAGCTTTACTCAATGTTTGAACAAGAGCTCTTGAATGACTTATGTGGGCTAACATCTAAAGTATCAGTGGAGAGTGATGCTAAATATTATGTATCAAGATTGGATGATGAGGGGACAAAACAGTCCTGAAATATGTTAGTTGACAATGTTACTTGTGAGGTTACATGTAGTTGCAAAAAGTTTAAGATGATGGGGTTGTTGTGCTCTCATGCACTATTTGTTCTAAGTCTCGCAAAAATAAAGGTGATTCTGAAGAAATATTTCTTATTGCGGTGGTCCATCAATGCTAAAAGGGACATGTATAACAGATTTAGGTGCAGAGAGCTAAAAGACTCTGACTGTAATAATGTTTCTTCAAGTTCCCTTATATTTAGTTCATGCTCCAAAAAATTTGCATATCAACTCATTAATAGAGCACAAGGACATGAGTTAGCTGAGGAGTGTTTGTGGGAGACGTTTAAAAAGTTATCAGGAGATATTGAGGATGCTATAACAGGGAGAACGATAGAATTACAGAAAACAAAAAAGAAGAATAAAATCACAAATATAGAATGCAATGTGAACGACCTTGCTAAAAAAAAGGCCGAAAGGAGTATCTACAGCTAGGCTGAAAGGACATTGGTAGAGAAATAAGAAACCAAAAGTATAAATTTTTTAATTTAGTATTTTCTCATTCCATTCCATGTATAATGCGTACTTCTAATTTGATCCATTGCATCCATGAATGGAACAAGAAGCAGCAAGTAGCCGTCGAGTCGTGGACGCATTCGAGCAAAGTTTGACAGAGATCCTTACTCAGGTATGCTGATAAAATACAATATCATATCACTACCTCTTATATAAAATCATTTACTTTAATTGTTTTTCGTATTACTCACCTACTGCAGGAAAACTATGCACCGCAACTAAGTGAAACGTACACTGGACTTTTGATGGATTCCATAAGTGAGAATTTATATTGATTGATATTGTAAAAGCTGTAATACTGTATCATTTGTAAACGTTTTTACGAAAAAGTTATTTGTGGTTTATAATATGTGTTTGTTGAAATATTTGTGTATTTATCCTGCTCAAACGTATATATCAACTGTAACACGGGAATAACACGTAAATAATACGAGAATAACATGATAATAACACTTCAATAACACGTGAATAACACGAAGATAGTACGTGAATACCACGTGAATAACACGAGGATTATCGTTAGTAACACGAGAAGATGACGAGGATAACACGTGAAGAACACATTAATAATACAGGAATAACACGGATAATAACACGGGAATAACACATCAATAACACGGGAATAACTTGGGTTACTCACGTGTTACTGCGCGCTCGCAGCAAATATTCATTGTGTTATTGACCGATTAATCGGTGTTACTCTGCGTTACCACGTGTATTCTAGCGTGTTGCTCCTCCGTGTTACCGCTGATTAATCGGTGTTATTCCTTATTTCCTTGTGTTATTCAGACAATCAAAGATTTGTGATAATTTTTTAATATCTTAGATCGGTGATATTCCTAATTTCTCCGTGTTACTTGCGGTGCACCACATGCGTTACTCACGTGTTATATTGTAATAACTCTTGCCGAAAACCATAAGAGAAATACGAGAATAACATGGGAGTAACACGAGGATAACACGAGAATAACTTGGGTTATTGCCATCTTAATGCGCTCTCGCAGCGAATATTCCCTGTGTTACTGACCGATTGGTCTGCATTATTTATAAGAGTATATAAGATATGCTTCAAAGCACTTAGCTATATTTATTTACTTATAACTATAACATATTGGTCTGCATTAGAACTGAGGCTTTGACTAAAAACTTTTGGGGATCACCCTTTTTTGAATCAGTATGTACATAATAAGTCAAAAGATGCGTCTAAAAAAATATTGTTAGAAAAAATAAAGTAGGAATGTATATCATTAATTAGAAATTAGAATGACG